GATGGGCTGGGTTGTACGTGCTGCAGTGTCTTCCTCCCCTCATCCTCCTCACCTCCATCCTTGCTTCCGTAAACCAATCCCTCTCACCTCAGTATCTGTAATTGCTGTGAGCTCTCTCCGAGCTGAGCAGTGAAAACAAAATGAGCGGTTCAATTTTCTGCTTCTTTTATGCAAGTGAGACGTTCCCTGGGCATAGTCTGAGGTTCTAAAACAAAACCAGTGTCCTCCTGGATTTCCCACTGGGTTTTACCCAGAGCAAGGGATAAAAACTGGAATATCTTATATATGGAAGAAATTCCTCCTTGTGAGGGTGGTGAGGCCCTGGCACAGGTTGGGCAGAGAAGCTGTGGCTGCCCCATCTCTGGAAGTGTCCAAGGCCGGGTTGTATGGGGTTTGGAGTGACCTGGGATAGAGGAAGGTGTCTGTGCCCATGGCAGGGGGTGGCACTGGATGATCCTTAAAGTCCCTCCCAACACAAACCATTCTATTGATTCTACAACTCCATGATCATCACCACTGCTGCCTCAGCTCTGATGATGGTCCTCCATCCTTGTTTTCCAGCTGGAAATCCAAGGCAAGCTCTACTTGGCTCCACTGACCACGGTAGGTTGATAACTTTTGTCCATTTGTCAAAACTTGCCGTTGCCGCCGTCGGAACGGAGCAGATCTCCTGACAGTCCCTGTCCCTGCTGTCCCTGGCAGTGCGGGAACCTCCCTTTCCGACGGATTTGCAAACGCTTCGGAGCAGATGTCACCTGTGGGGAGATGGCTGTGTGCACCAACCTGCTCCAGGGCCAGTCCTCGGAGTGGGCCCTGCTCAAACGCCACCACACCGAGGATATTTTTGGGGTGCAGGTGAGTGTTGTCACCTCGATAAAACCGAACTCCCGAGGAGAAAAGCGGCCTCTGGAGCTCATGGAAGCTTTGGCTCCCTTTGGCAGCTGGAGGGAGCCTTTCCAGACACCATGACCAAGTGTGCAGAGCTCCTGAACAGGACAATCGAGGTGGATTTTGTGGACATCAACGTGGGGTGTCCCATTGACCTGGTCTACAAGAAGGTGAGTTGTGGGGCACGCTTTCCTTCCTTCCATGGATCCTTGTCTTCTCCCTTATCCCCCGCTGCCTGACCTGCTCCTGCCAGGCTGATCCAGAGCTCCCAGTTCATTTATGGGCACTGGACCTCAGCAAGAAGGTGAATAAGCTGCTCAAGGAGCAGGGAATGGCTGTCTTTTCCTGGCAGAATTTGGGAGGAGAGGGCTGTGGGCTGGTGGGGTTTTTTTGTTAAAGAATCCATTTTCTGCAAGCCTTGAGATGCTCCAAGTCTTTCCTGCATTCCCTGAGCAGCTCCAAGGACTCTTCACTATGCAAGGAAGCGGAAAGTCTTGACTGTGCCACGTTTTGTCCCTCAGGGAGGAGGTTGTGCTCTCATGACTCGCTCCAACAAGTTTGAACAGATTGTCCGCGGGATGAACTCGGTGAGTCGGAGCGCCTGGAGATGATGGAGCTGATGGAGCCACCTCCTGCCACGGCCTGGCCTCATTCTCCCACTCCTGCAGGTGCTGGATGTGCCTCTGACGGTGAAGATCCGGACTGGAGTGCAAGAAAAGATTAATGTGGCTCATAAAATCATCCCCAAGATCCGGGAGTGGGGAGCATCCATGGTCACGGTATGGGAATACTTGTGCTGGTTGTGAGATTGGGAATTCTGCACGTCAGCCTGGAGACAAGGTGGGGGTGACCTTCCCCTGCCCCAACAGCTCTTTCAAACCCCTTGGAGCAGATCTGTGCTCCATTTTAGTGTTCTCTGCTAATCCAAGAGGAAAATTCAGGAGCAGAAAGTGTTTTCCTTGTTGCTCCTGGGACACCTTCCACTCTCCCAGGTTGCTCCAAGCCCTGTCCAACCTGGCCTTGGACACTTCCAGGGATGGGGCATCCACAACCTTATGGAGATGGTTCCTGCTGAAGTTTCAGCCAGGGAAGCCTCATTCTGTCAGGGCTGGGGAAATAATGGGACCAGCTCATTGTGTGGGGGTTAATTCCTGCCCACAGGGAATATTCCCATTCCCTGTGAACAGCCACGTCTTGCTCTGGCTCACAAATAGCCAAAATGTCACCCCAAAAGCCTCCAGCCCACTCAGCTATGCCCAGCCCTTCCTGTAGGTCCAGAGGTAGATCCAGAGGTAGATCCTGAGGGATCCCTTGCCCAGTTCTCTCTGTCAGCAGCGCTGGGCTGTAGATCTAAAGGTAGATCCTGAAGTAGATCCAGAGGTAGATCCTGAGGGATCCCTTTCCCAGCTCTGCTCACCCCTTCCTCAGCCCCCTCCATCAGCAGTTCCTGGGCTGTAGATCCAGAGGAAAATCCCAAGGGATTCTTTAACCAGGTCTGCTCTGTGAGCAGCTGCTGGGTGGTAGATCCAGAAGCAGATCCTGAAGAAGATCCAGAGGTAAATCCTGAGGGACCCCTTACCCAGCTCTGCTCTGTCAGCTGCTGCTGGGTGGTAGATCCAGAAGTAGATCCCGAAGAAGATCCTGAGGTAGATCCCGAGGATCCCTTACCCCATCCTGGTGTGATTCCCCCAGCTCCACGGCCGATCCCGGGAGCAGCGGTACACGCGGAGCGCTGACTGGGAATACATCGCCGAGTGCGCCAAGATCGCCAGCCCCATGCCCCTGTTTGGTACGTGAGTCTTGTTCCTTCACCTCTTTGATTTGAAATACCTTTAAAAAAAGGGAAAAAAAAACAGATTCCCAATGATATTTAGCCTGGGGGAAAGTTTGGAGCATCCCGGCACCTCTGCCTGTGTTTGGGGATGAGGAGAAGGGAGAGGTAGGACATGAACCACTTGGGTTTTACCGGGTGCTTTTTGGGCCCCTGTGGCACAGACAATCCCCAGACCTTCCAGGTAGGAGCTGTGAGTGGAAGAGAAGAGAGGAGAAAGTTCCTCTTTTCCTTGTAAGAGGAATCATAAATATCCACCCCATAAACATCCCTGGGAATCTCTAACCTTGGCTCTTTGAACAGTCTGGTTCTTGGACTCTGTGTCCATTTTGAATTTTATCTCGTGCCTGGATTAACTCATTTTGACTTGTCCTTATGGCTCACTTTGACCTCTGGCTTCTCCCTCCTTTCCGGGCAGGAAATGGGGATATTTTATCTTACGAAGATGCAAATCGAGCCATGGAGACGGGAGTTTCTGGAATCATGATTGCAAGGCAAGTGCTTGTGTTTCCCTTCACTTCTGAGCTCTTTTTGGTTCCAGAGTTTAAAAAAAAAAAAAGGACTTAAAAAAAAATCCCTAAACAACCTCAAAATACGAGAATTTTCCTCGTGTTGAAACTGCTCTGAAAATTGATAAAATCAATTTGGATCACTGAGAAGTTCCAGCAGCTTCTTGTTGGAATGGGAAACAAAATTAAAAGCAGAATTGGCTGGTAAAAAGGGATGGGAAGTGACTAAAATCAGTTGGCATCTTCAGGAGCATCAGTGATGAGAATAACAATGCCTCTTTTTTTTTGGCTGCAGAGGGGCACTCATCAAACCGTGGCTTTTCACCGAAATTAAGGAGCAGAGACACTGGGATATCTCCTCGGGGGAAAGGTTTGACATCCTCAAAGACTTCACCAACTACGGCCTCGAGCACTGGGGGTCGGACACTCAGGGAGTGGAGAAAACCAGGAAATTCCTGCTGGAATGGCTCTCTTTCCTGTGCAGGTAACTGTGCCCAGCCAAAACTGGATTGATCCAAGAGGATCTTTGAACAATATTTAATTAAACTCCAGCACTCACTGCTGTTCCATCCCATCCCAGGTACATTCCAGTTGGATTATTGGAACATCTACCTCAGAGAATTAACGAGCGGCCGCCGTATTACCTGGGGAGGGACTACCTGGAGACGCTCATGGCCAGCCAGAACGTGGATGATTGGATCAGAATAAGGTAATAAAATGTGGAAATTAATTTAAATTGCTAAAAAGGGACGTGGCAGAGCCCCCGTAGAGCCACGGGGCCGTGTGACAACCGTGGGCTGAACACAAACCTCTCCTTGGGTTTGGTTTTGTCGTTGTCCTTGTGTTTCTTCCCTGGAAGTGCCCCAAGGCCAGGTTGGATGAGGCTTGGAGCAACCTGGGCTAGCAGAAGGGGCTGGAACAAAATGGTCTTTAAGGTCTCTTGATTGATTCTGTGATTGATTCTTTCTTCCAGTGAGCTGCTCCTGGGCCCTGTCCCTCCCAGCTTCACCTTCCTGCCAAAACACAAGGCCAATTCCTACAGATAGGGCTGGCCAGGCCCTTTCCCGTGGCGTGGAGGCAAGAGGAGGCGTTGGGATGGGGTGTCTGGAGGAGCAGGATTCCTCAGCTGCCCTCAGAAGTGGAATAAAGCTGACGTTTTTAGAAGCTGGTGGGTTTTTTGCCTTCCTGCCCCGGGCCTCAGTCCTGGCAGGAGAACATTTATTTGTGAGCAGGAGGGATCTTTGGTCTCCAGAGCTGTCCCAGCTCAGCAGGAAGCCTCTGTGCCTTACCAGGGTGTCCTTGGGAGTGACAAACTCCAAGGACAAGGAGCAGCAACATACCCCCTGCCCCTTCTGCTGCCCCCCACAACCAGGGGGACCCTGAGCTGATGTTCAGGGGTCCAAAGAGGAGCTTCTCAGAGGTTCCACAGGCTCTTTGGGTGCATGTAGGGGGTCAGCCTGGAGGGTCTCAGTGGCATCCCCACACCTGGGGACCCAGGTGGCACCAGCAGAGGTGGGAGAGCGGTGGGCCCAGCCCCTGCAGTGCTGTTGACACCCATCACTGCCACCTCCACGGGGGCATCCTGTGGTGACAGATCCCATGGATCCCATGCTGACACACCCCCCCAGCCCCTCTGCTGACCCCAAAGGGACAGGGCAGGGCTGGGGCACCGTGGGGACGCCTTGGAGCAGCCCCCCGTCCCTCCCCAATCCCATGGACGAGCTGCTGCCTGGGAAGGTGTCATGGCGGCCCCTGTGCCCCGGTAGGTGTCATGGCGGGCGCAGGAACCGGAAGAGCCGCGTCACGTGGTGCTCCCTCTTCCGGGTACGGGCGGTGGGAGCGCCCGGTAGTGGCGGGGAGGGCACTGGGAGAACTGGGGAGAACTGGAGGGGAACTGGGGGCACAAGGAGCTCGAGGGGTGCCCAGAAAAGGGCACTAGGGGCCCACAGGGGGTACAGGAATAACTGGGGTGAGTGGGAGGCACGTGCAGGGGGGTGACTGGGGGGCGCTGGGGGTGACTGGGAGGCACTGGGGTGACGGGGGAAGGGTCCGGGGGGAGGTGTGAGGGGGGCATAGAAGGTGTGACGGGGGGACTGGGAGGGTGAGGCAGGGCTAACTGGGAGGATAACTGGAGAGCACGGGGAACTGGGGGGGTACAGGAGCACTAACTGGACAAACTGGGGAGCACAGGGTGGATAACTGGAAAGGTACATAAGCACTAACTGGGTGAACTGGGGAGCCCAGCAGGGATAACTGGGGTCACAAAGGGAACTGGGAGAGTACAAGAGCACTGACTGGGCAAACTGGGGGGGTACCGGAGCACAAACTGGGGGGCACAGGGTGAACTGGGAGGGTACACAAGCAATAACTGGGGGAGCTGGGGGGGGCCAGTGTGGATAACTGGGAGCACAGGAGGGACTGGGCAGGTACAGAAGCACTAACTGGGGAGCCCAGCATGGAAAACTGGGGGGCGTGGGGCAACTGGGAGGGTACACAAACACTAACTGGGTGAACTGGGGAGCACAGCATGGCTGACTGGGGGCACTGGGAGTGACTGGGAGGCACGGGGTGCTGTGGGGGTCACACCAGGGGTGCTGTGGGGGGGTCCCTCCCCGCTGAGCCCAGGGCAGGGGGGCTGTTCCCACAGGATGCTGTCGCGGGGCCGGCGGCTCCTGCGCTCCTGGAAATCCCTGTTCACGGGGAGGCTCCTGCTCCTCACCAACACCCTGAGCTGCGGGGGCCTCCTGGCAGCTGGAGATTCCCTGCAGCAGGAATGGCACCGCCGGAGGCACCCGGAGAGCCAACACCAGCTGGGCCGAACTGGTGAGGGACTGGGAGGGGGGGGCAGGACAGGCTGGGTGACTCCCACTGCCAGAGGGCAGCGTTGGATGGGATATTGGGAAGGAATTCCTCCCCGTGAGGGTGGGGAGGGGCTGGAATGGATTTCCCGGAGAAGCTGTGGCTGTCCCATCCCTGGAAGTGTCCAAGGCCAGGTTGGAGAAGGGAAGGCTCCAGGGAGACCTGAGAGCCCCTTCCAGGGCCTAAAGGGGCTCCAGGAGAGCTGGAGAGGGACTTGGGACAAGGGATGGACAGGACACAGGGAATGGCTTCAAAGTGAAAAAGGGGGAATTTAGGTGGGATATTGGGAAGGAATTCTTGGCTGAGA